CATAATCTATGTACCAAGGGTTCTCACGATCTCGGACACACCATAGATATATGCGTATGTAACTCTTCTCCTTTGTTTCGTTTTTGTGTAGCTTCAATCGATTTAGGGTTCTCAGTTTTTTTGGGACCAGTACGGAGAAAATTGCAGAAAAACTGGGCTGGGGCTTGGTGGAAACGATTTGCCTCTTTTATGCATCTCTTCTACTGTTCTAGCTAATTAAATATGGTTTTTTTTTTCTACGATTTCAGAACCTGCAACTTTTGGATGCAATTCTCCTCTCCTTATGTAAACGTTTATTGCTTCTTCTCTTAGTTCCTATGCCAATTAATTCTGGGTAACTGTAATTGCGGAGAACAAAACTCTAAAAGAACAAATCACGGCTTAAATTTCGTGGTTATTAAATAACCTGTTGTGATTTTATGCTTTTCGTCTTTACCTTAATGATGAAAAGGACTTCTCATTCTATGCGACAATGAATTTAACTTATGGAGCTTAATTTACTAATAGGAACAGATCCATCAATACATAAACTTTAAACTTACAATCCAAATTCTGAATTTTTTTAAATACATATGTTGAAAACCAAAGCATTCAGGTCTTTTATATCTCTGTTTCACTTCCACAAATATATTATTTTTCTTTTAAATTATGCTTATCTATGTAACTTTAAGATAGCTCTTAAGAAGGAAACCTGTAACCTTCACTAAGTCTCTGTGAATATACATCTCTCTCTTTAGTTTAACATGCGTCACATAACTAATTGCATGTCTAAGTATAATATTGAAAGACAAATGCTTCTTCATTTACTTCTTCAAATGCCATCTTTATGATTCACGTAGAAGCTCATCACCTATATCCTACAACACTGATTTCTATGATTCATCTTATGCTTCTCGTTCCTTTAAAATGAATGTTTTCAAGCCTTATATTGATCTTTTCTTCAGCATATTGTGTTGTCTATATGCCATTTCAGTTCTTATATTTTTTTCAGTTAGTTTTGTTGGTTATTTAAGTTTCAGTCATTGCGTTTGCATTAAAGGAATATTCATTTCCCTAATTGTTAATTGTTTATACCCAATTGGATCTTACATGGCCATCTTAGAAGATGAAATTCTTAAACAATGTGAAACTATAGAAATATTTTTACCAATGTAAACAAATATTTTAATCTTCACGGTGCACATACAATAGTTTGATTTGTAACTCTCACCTCTTCAATTTTGTCATTGTGAAGATTATAGGTTTATTATTTAGGGTACTTTCAGTTACAGCATTTGCATTAATGACATATTAGAAGGAACTTGTTGAGTTTATTTTTTGTTGTTTATTATTAAACGATTCACTCTACTTTAATTTGTTCCTTCTTTCGGTTCAGAAATGCGGTTGAGCGTTTGAGCCTTAATTTCATCAACGAATGTACTAAGCCTGGTCGGGAGCTATTTCTTTAACATACACATAGTCTAACTACCTAGTAAAACATCTATATATCTAATATATCAACACAGATTAACGTTTATATGCTTTGTTTGCCATGTGCTCTGCCCCGCTAACACTCTTTTACATTTTCATGTGATTGTACCATAATTGGATTTTTGTGGAAATTGTTTCCCATATCTCTTATTGATCTATTTATTTCAATACTTTTGTGTGTGTGTGTCATGAGTAGTTCAAGTATTGTACGATCTATTTAGTTCACAATTTATATAAATGTAGAGACACACATACGTGTCTTTTTTATTTTTAGTAATGAGTTCTAGGTTTTTGTCTCTTATCAATCTTCTTCATCTAAGTCAATTGTAAATTTTCTTTCATTAATTAATTAATCTGTGTCATGTTTTCTCTCTTTTTACATTAATTAATGTGTATCATGTTTTCTCTCTTTCTTTTAGCATGCTCAAGACAGTAGTGAACAGTACTACAAAAACAGTTTGGCTCCATTAACGTCAATAATAAACTTTCCCATATCTATTATTTATCTATTTATTTATCTCACGATTTTCATATATGTAGAGACATAATAGGTCTCTCTTTTTTTTTCTCCCTGGATAGAGTAATGTAATATGAGAGAGAGATTATAGCTTTTCGGAAATACTGTAGCTGGCTGAGATCCACTTTATCTTGAATCCAGGTGTGAAGATGATGATTTAATCTATTCATGGGACTCTGAAGTCTTTCACTTTAAATTTTATTTTTCTCTTAAACTTTTAGAAAAACCTCAAATTAAATAAATAAAACATTAGAATAATCTTAATATAATTATATACTGGATCACAAAAACTAAATATAATGATACATATATTAAAAATATCCAACGTAAACAATGGAGATGAATCTTTTCAATTTCATTCCCTTGTTTTGCGATGATTAGAATTGATATTTTTAACTTTTGTTATAGCCATCAAAACTTTTATTTTACATATGTGAATTCAAAATTAAAGACGAAATAGGTATAATCTAGTATGGTGTTAGGAAAATGTTTTTTTGAGAAAAAAATTAGAATCTTTCTTAAAATGATGTTTTCATTGATTTCAACCCATATATTGTAACAAAACAATAAATACATGAATATAATATAAGAGGATGATACAATGATTACTTATAAGAAGATAATGTTGACAAAAAAAAAAAAAAAAATCTAAAATAGACAATGGATATGAATCTTTAAAAAAAAAAAAAAAAAACTAATATAGAAATTAGAATTTAAATTTAAGCTTTTACAATGATATTTAATTTGAGTTAATAATAGATAGTATTGTATCATAATATTATATATTTAAAAATATTAAAAACAAGAGAGTGGAAGCCATGTAATGTATTTTCTATATATACAAAAAATGTTGTTACACTATTATTTATTTTAATTATACAATATTAAGATATTTATATATATAACTTACATACATATCTTTTGAATTTATTAAACTTTTTAATCTTCTACTTTGATAAACAATTTCATTAGTATTTACATTGTTTTGGATAAAAATTCGTTGTCACATATATTTATTATTATGATACTCAAATATTTAGTTTTGTTAGTTTATATAAAGTATAAATTCACACATAAGGTATGCAATTATTAAAAGTAAAATTATTTTCTAATTGACAAACTAAATCTGTTTCCTATAAAGTTATATAAACTACAATCTAGTTATTTAAAGATAATCTCAAGGATAACGTCTATTTGTTATAAATCTTTTTTATATTCAACTCAGTTTAAATATTTATAGGATTTAAATTGCTAGGTTGTATTATAAATATTTTTTAAATAAATTCTTTTGTTTTAGAAAAAAACTTAAACCACAAACGTTGAAGAGAATAAACATTATAATTAATGATCTTTAGATCATTATTTATTGGATCACAAAAACTAAACTGATGAGTGATGAGTATATTAAAAATAATACATAACGTTATGAGAAATTGTTAAAAATGCCCCCTTTTCAATACCCCTTTTCAAAAATGCCCCTTTTGAGAGTCCATTTTTAAATTGCCCTCTTTTAATTTTTAATGACCATTTTACCCTTATTTGAAACAAAATTAGGTCCACAAAATACAAAATATTTTTTGGCGGGAAAAGTGATCCCCCAATTTTCCCGCCAAAACACTTGTAAAAACCTTTAAAATACCTTGTAAAATTTTCCCGTAAAAATTTTTTTGGCGGGAAAATTTTTGGCGTGAAAAATTTACAAGGTATTTTAAAGATTTTACGACGTATTTACAAGTGTTTTGTAAGGTTTTACAATGTATTTTAAAAGGTTTTACAAGGTACTTATAAAGTTTTATAAGGTATTTATAACTTGTAAAACCTTATAAAAAACTTGTAAAACCTTATAACTTGTAAAACCTTATAAAATAGCTTGTAAAATCTTATAATATCTTGTAAATATCTTATAAATACGTTGTAAAACCTTTTAAAATACATTGTAAATTTTTCCCGCCAAAAATTTAACGGCAAAAAAATTGCAGAATCACTTTTCCCGCAAAAACAATTTTTGGCGGGAAAAAATTTTACGGAAAAATTTTACAAGGTATTTTAAAGGTTTTACAAGTTTTTACAAGTGTTTTGGCGGGAAAAATTGCGGGATCACTTTTCCCGCCAAAAAATATTTTGTATTTTGTGGACCTAATTTTGTTATATTTTCTTATATATTTGTGATATCTTTTATTAAAAGAAGGGTAATTTAGTCATTTTGTACATAAAGGGGGTATTTTTATAAATGGACAGCCAAAGGAGGCATTTTTGAAAAGGGGTATTGAAAAAAGGGCATTTTTGTGAGTCTCCCTAACATTATTTAAGATAAGAAAGTAGTATGTAAGAAATTTAACAAAAATATTATTTGATATTACAATAATTTATTTATTGTAGAAAATGGAGATGGATCTTCTCAACTAGATTTTCTTCTGAGGAATGGTTGGAATTGATATTTTTAAAACTTCATCATTAAATCTGCAAAGTATATAATTTTTAATTAAAAACAGAAATTATAGCCATCAAATTTTTTAAGATACATTTGTAGTTTTGGATTAAAAATATAAAAATTAAAAAGGTATAAGTATATTCAAGTAACACATTAGAATAAAAAATAAAATTGAAAAAAATCTAAGATATATGCCATATAGTTTCTAAAAACAAAATTTAGAATCAAACTTGTACAATGATGTCTCAATTGATTTTTCAACCCATGCAACAACATAAAAACAAAGAAAGTATTTAGGGTTAGAGATATGGTGGAATTCGAATATTTGAGAATGACTATTTATAGAATGGAAAGTGATGGAAGTTACATTTTAATAGTTATTAAATTATAGGAGTTACAATTTGAATTTATCATGTGTTTAAATGACATTGAGTGGAGAAAAATATAATTAATACACAATTTGTATGATGGTTACAATTTGGTATTAAATGGTAGATTAATGTATATGCATAAATGTGTTGTATTTGTGGTTTAGTTAGAGATAAATATTATTATATTTTTTTTTTTTCAAAATGTGAATTGCCAAATGGACCAATAAAGAGAGAATGAAACCTTATTTTTTTATATATGATTTGTGACTTAGAAAAGATAAGGGTTGTAAAAAGGACTAAAAACCAAACCAGTCACACCCTAAACTAATCTAGAATGTAAACATAGTTCAGACGAACCTCTGTTCTTTATTAGGAACCACTTAAACAATCCTTACAAATATGTTTAAGAAGATTTACATGCATTCAACACGACTGGTCACTGACCAGTTCCTAACTATTCAACTCGCTGACACAATAACAATTGTGATTCACTCTTTGTTTACTCACCAAGAACCCTAACAAGCTTTTTTGCTTTTGCTCTTGTGATTTATCTGTGAACGGCTAACCTAAACCTAAAGTCTAGATTCAAAATATATAGGTGCATCCATACATCTCGTAGCTGACATAGTCTCCAT